TCCATTACATCGTCAGTGATAATGGAAAAGAAATGTGAGTCTCTCACTTCCCTTAGAGTTTATTCCCGAATACAGCTCTCACAGATCTCTACATCTGCCTCTGCTGTGTTTTTTAAACAAAACAACGTGTTAACTGCTCTTGTCTCAAAGCGCTTTCTCAGGACCCCTTGACCACAATTTATCCAGCACTCCAGCACTGCGTGAACGTTATCTGGAGTAAAGAGACCTTCTGGGATTTCATCGGCCTCGTGTCCATCCAGAGGTATGTTTTGCTTTCCCATCAGAATCAAGATTTCAAACAGAGATTTTAGGTATCCTTTGTTTTCCTTCTCTTCAAGGGTTAGAGGTAAAATGTCCTCATCTGGCCCTTCACCCCCTTTTTTACTAGGGTTCTGAGCATTGCTATTGTTGGTTTCTTTATGTTTTTGTTCCTGTTCAGAAGGTTCATCAACAATTCTTTTATTCATTTTCTAGGTGGGTTGTTCAAATGACTGGTAAGAGCAAATATTGTTGGTATTGCATTATCTCATACAACTGTCCTATAAGGACTAGTTCCACAGACCCTAGACGTCTCAAAATGGTGGACCCCTCACCGGTCATGTTTATTTAGCTGATCAGGTGTTTTATCTTCTAAGTCTGCTCTCCTACAATTCACCCACTTCTGGCATCTGGTCGGGTCCCTCGGCAACCTGAAGGCGGCCAGGTCTGACTGCGTGCTCTTCCGCGTGCAGTTCGGGGGAGCGCAGAAGTTCTGCATCGTCGCCAGCCCGCCCGCCAGCCTGCCTGCCCAGCCCTTCCCTCCGTCCGGGCCGAGGAGAGCAGGCAGGCCGGCCATCGGGGTCGGGAGAGCAGGCAGGCCGGCCATCGGGGCCGAGGAGAGCAGGCAGGTCGGCCATCGGGGCCGGGAGAGCAGGCAGGTCGGCCATCGGGGCCGGGGAGGGCAGCCAGGACGGCCACCGAACCGGGGAGAGCAGGCAGGTCAGCCATCTGGGCCCGGGTGGGGAGCCAGGCTGGTCGGCGCACTGGGGAGGGGCGCCGCGGTCAGAGGCCGGGCTGAGGACGCTGCTCCACAGCGCTCTGAGCGGCCGGGAGGGCTTACTGCTGCCACCGCCGTCTCTGGTGCATCATCCTACCCGCCCGGGACGCTGCCGCCTCCTTCCCACAATGCCTGTTAATCAATTTTTTAATCAAGAAGTATTCATGTCTACCAGCCTCTAATGACCTTTTTGAAAATGAAGTGGTAAACACATTGCACATTTCAGCTCCAAAAACTCCTCAAAATATCTAAGGGCCTCTGCAAGTTTTTCTTCTAATCTGATTTTTAAATGGAAGCATCTTATGTTTGATACATCATTTGATGTCTTTTAAAAAATGAGTTCTAGAGCACAACATTTTCAACAAAAAGTACACATGTATGGTTGTACAATAAAATGTATAAGATACCTATTTGTGTGTGTGTGTGTAATACATGAATATAGTTCCTCTCTATTCTTTATGTTCTTTAAATTCTTCATTATTATGCACTATTTCTTAAAATGGCTTAGAAGATGGACTGGTAGCTTTGGCTGTTTCCTGCTGACGTTTTAGAGGGTTACTAAAATGTGCAAAGAGGTAGTCACAGACCACAGCAAAACAACTAAATATTCAACGTGCTCTTTCAAATGTGTATTTAAGGACACAGAATCTCCTGTGTGGAGACAATCCGTGCATGCAACTAGACTAAATTCGTGCTAGCAGCCAAGACTTGCCTCTCTCAGTAGACCAGAATTATTCATAAACCATCATATAAAGAGAAGTGAGCAGCCAACCAGGAGAACTAAGGGCACAGCTGTGAGTCCTGAGTAGCAAGATCAAGTCTCACACTGCTCATTACGAAGAGGGAGGGTTTCTGCCTTCGTTTATTTTCAGACACAGCTTAGATAAGGTTGCTGGCCATATTTCTGTTATTTTGATTCAAGCAGAAAATCCTGTGCAGATCCACGGAACACATTATTGTAACATTGCTCAGAGGAGAATTGGGTCAACGCAATTTAGAGGATGAAAATAGCTCTGCAGTGTGAGTGTAGAAACTCTGGTTTATTGGAGGATAACTTTTTTGATGGTCTCAAAGTTAAAAAATTTAAAACTTAAAAACAATTTTATTAAATAGAAACTTGAGGGATTTTTATTCTATGCCTTATAGATCAAATGGTTTTAGCATGGGGTGGGAGGCAGATGCCAAGGGCTTACTGGAGTGAACTGCAAGGAACTCCAACACTTTTCTGTGCTTCTCCTGAAGTACTCTTGCTTTGTATCTGAGTCTTGTCTAGGCCACATTAAATGGAGTCATTAGGCTTGAGTAACTTGAGTAACTTTTTAAATTAGGAATTCTTGACTTGGGGATACTTGCCTGAGGGTTTCTCTTTTCTGCTGTTTTTTTTTTTTTTCTATGATTAAAAATGCCAAGAAGGGCAAATTTTTCCATGATTTGGAATTACCAGGAAGGATGGACTTCTAAGGACTGATGGCTTGTGAAAGATAACCATTGAAACAACCAATTGTATTTATGCAAGGCTTATTGTTTAAACACTGTACTCTTCTTATAGGATTATTGTTGCCGTTAAAAGAATGTTTCTACTAATTAGAGTTTTAATCTAACTTCAGTGCTGTCTGTCCAAGACTGTCCTGAATTGAGTGATTTTAAGGGATACGGTCTATCAATTTAATTTACTTGCATTTTATGGATTCTTCTTCTTCTTTTTAAACATAAGCATATAATTAAATATCTCCTATACTGTTTACAGTGTTTAGATTATAGCTTATATATAAATTTCTCCTATCAAGTCTCTTCCATTATGTGACAGTTTTATTAAATAACCAACAGACTCCACTGCTGATTTATCACGAATGATAGTAAATTTTTTCAGAATTTAAACTTATCTATAGTAAGTAACAGGCATCAATAACTTGGTTTCTTTTTTAAATAACCAGAGTCTGCAATGCCTTGGTTTATGCAAAAGCAGACAAGTGAGGCCCATCTCCTGGCTGGGTAACCTTTTTTTGCCACTGATCCAGCCCTTAAAGTGAGTCACGTTGTTTACTTGGGGTCCATGGATGAGCTACAGAGATTAGTCTGTGAATGTCCTAAAATATAGTACAACTGTGAGTTTCTGTGAACTTTCACATAATTTTTATCAAAAGAAATTTGTGGTATAATGGATAGGTGGGCAGTACAGTGTGCCCTGCAGTCAGACTGCCTGAGTTTATATGATGATGGGGTTTGTGAGTTCTATTCCAAAATATTGAATATTTTAAGCTGAAGAAATTTGAGAAATGGCAGGTTCAGGAGGGACTCTCTGACCTTCCCTTGAAGCAGGTCATAAGACCCTCCTGTGAGAGATGCTGTCTTTATAGCCAGAGAAATGGAGCATTCTCCTCCCTGAAGATGGAGGGGTGCTGAAGAGAATCTGAATGAACAGGACTTGCTCAGTTTCTCCCGGTTTACTGCCCTTAGGGCCTATCTCTCTGCCCTATCACATTTTCCCACGACTCTTCATCAAACCTAGTATAAAGAAACACTCAGGTTTAATCATTTTTTTAAGGTATTCATTTCTTAATGAAGCCTCCCATGTCACATAATACTTTTTTTTTTTTTTTTTTTTTTTTGAGACCGAGTTTCACTCTTGTAGCGCAGGCTGGAATGCAATGGCACAATCTCAGCTCACTGCAATCTCCACCTCCTGGGTTCAAGCGATTCTCATGCCTCCGCCTCCGAAGTAGCTGGGATTACAGGTGCCCGCTAATCATGCCCAGCTAATCTTTGGATTTTTAGTAGAGATGGGGTTTCACCATGTTGGCCAGGCTGGCCTTGAACTCCCGACCTCAGATGATCCACCTGCCTCGGCCTCCCAAAGTGCTGGGATTACAGGCGTGAGCCACTGCACCTGGCACGTAATACTTCTATTACGTAAATTTGTATGCTTTTCTGTTGTTAATCTGTCTTTTGTTACAGAGCCACAGCTAAGCTCCTAGAAGGGTAGAAGCAAAGATTTTTTTCCTTCCGTATGATCCCAATCCACTACTTAGCTAGGTGACTTCAAACAAGTTACTTAACCTCTCTCTGCTTCAGTGTTCTCAAAATTGCAGAAATGATCTTACAGGACTGCTGCGATGATTAAATGTGAGAATTTTGATGGCATGGAAAACTCTTAATGAAGTGGCAGGCACTTAGTAAGCATCACTAAATTTTACTAATTACATCACACAGTCAGCCCTCCACATCCACAGGTTCCATAGCTTTAGATTCAAGCAACCTTGGATGGAAAATATTTGAAAAAAGTCAAAAATAAAAATAATAATTCAACAATTAAAGTTATATTAATTAAAAATACAGTATAACAACTATACAGCATTACATTGTATTAGATATTATAATAATCTAGAGATTATTTAGTATGTGGGAGGATTTACATAAGTTATATGCAAACACCACACCATTTTATATTAGTGACTTGAGCATCTGTGGATTTTGGTATCTGAGGAGGTCCAGGAACCAATTTCCCAGGGATGCCAAGAGGTGAATGTATTCTCAAAATAATCTGTAACCTCCAAAAAGTTAAGAGGCACTGACCTATGATATTTTTAGAATTGTGTTTTAAAGAACAAATCAGTACCTGATTTAATAAGTCACACTTAAGCCTAAGTCGAACAGAAATATTAGTTTGCAAAATGCACAGATACATATTCATCATGAGGCAGAAAGGCCTTTTAAATAGCTTTGAAAATGTGGAAAGTCAATTTGTGTTGTTCTTCCATGGGAGAAAAAGAATCTACCAAGTCTCAGGTGAGCCTCCAAAAAATACTTCCATCTGCCCCTGGCTTCCGTACTATCCAAGTGTGTCTTGAAACCCTGAAATAAATTTCAAGGTGACAACCTAAATTTAACTCTGCGATTGTGAGTTTGTGGATTTCTCAGCATTTTCTTTTTCAGTTAGCATAGAAGTCAAAAGTTACAAAAGCAATGAGATTCTGCATCTTTTAATGAAAGATAAAACAACAATATAAACATACACAAATTTACAGAGAAGGGAACAACTTTAATACATTTGGAGTAAAAGGTGTTTCTTCTTTAAATATGGTATAAAAATAAATGCAAGAAACATTAACGGAGAATGTACAGACAACAGACAAAGACAGGAGTTTCTTTCCGACTGTGGATACATTGGTGAAATGAAACTTTCTGTGCGAATTTACTGTTTAATAAATGTGAAGCCGTATGTATACTTATTGATATATACTTTTTTCTTTTACAGTTCTTCCAGTTTTTGACTGACTGAATTTTCAGTGAACTGTGTGTCTAGCTGAAGCTTTGAGAGAGAGAGAGAGAGAGAAGGAAAAAAAGAAAAGGTTTTACTTCACTTGAACTCGTTAAAAAGGAAAAGACACAGATCCAGCGTAAGTAGAGGGAGAAAGAAAGCAGACAACAGTTTGGAATGGAGGCATTGAGATGGAAGAGTCCATTGGAGATGGAATGTACACACACAAATAACAATTTAGGTCCTTTGCTCATGCAACATCTTGTTCTAATGTCCTCTGCTCCAGATCACAACAGCGAGCTACAAAGTATGTGCAGTGACTCCAGTCTGCATTCATGCTACAAGATGATCCGTTTAGTAAGACTGAACAAGGCTTGTTAACCTCTTGGACGTGAGAGATTTCCCCTGAGAAAATATATAAAACAAGAAAAAAGAAAGAAAATCAAGTATGATCACTGAAAACCTGCTTGGTAGTAGCAACTATTTACTGTAGCTGATTTGTGTGCAAGGGTCAAAACTGAACCCTTTAAGTCCATCTTAGTTCAAACTTCATGACCAACCTGCCTTCCCCGCTCCCTCCCTCCACTGACACGTCAAACAAAACTATCCTCCCTCCCTCCACCCTCTTACCCCTCCCAAATCCTTCCTCCCCACTGCAAACAGACTGATGGTTTCACAGCACAGATCAGCAAATCATAAAACATATCCATAAATGTTCCATCAAGGCTTAGCAATGAAGCAACATCTAGGTTCCCAACTGATTATAAACATGTTACAACAAATTTTAGTAAGCTGCTCTGAAAGATAATAATGTGAGTGCATTCTTGTTCAATGGCTGAAATTAATGTCACATTTATAAATATCTAGAAATGTAGAGGATATGATTTAATCAAACACAATGCAGTTTTTGAGGGTGTGATTCATGAAACTCAAGATTGAGTGTGTCCCCTACCTTACATAATATGGAGAAAAAGGTGAAAATTATACATCTGAAGATAAAAGTCTATTTGTTCCCTGTTTCCAGCTGTTGATGTCTTCCTATCCTTTCCTGACTTCTTCTAACTCTAATCCAAGAAAAAATCTGATCTATTCTGATTTCACATATCATACGATTACGTAAAGCACATACTTAGGTTTTAGAAATCTCATAAGTCAACATTGTTGCTGTTAATTACAAGTACTCTAGAGAGATAAGAAATCTGAGGCCGGGCACAGTGGCTCACGCCTGTAATCCCAGTACTTTGGGAGGCTGAGGTGGGCAGATCACCTGAGGTCAGGAGTTTGAAACCAGCCTGCCCAACATGGCAAAACTCCCTCTCTACTAAAAGTACAAAAATAAGTCGGGTGTGGTGGTGGGCACCTGTAATCCCAGCTACTCAGGACGCTGAAGCAGGAGAATCACTTGAACCCAGGAGGTGGAGGTTGCAATGAGCCGAGATCGCGCCACTACACTCCAGCCTGGGTGACAAGAGCGAAACTGTCTCCAAAAAAAAAAAAAAATTTGAAGTATTTGATCAGAATACAAAACTGGTGGTTTTCATTTCATGTCTTATTTTATATGCTCTATTAAAAAATTATGTGGGCCAGTTATTTAATGAATTTTTGTACATCTCAAGATAAAATAATAAGTAAAAATAAAAAATTGGAAACATATATTTTAGTAATAAATTACAGTCATAGCAATAGTCTTGATTTGCTACCTAATGTGGCTCCGTTTTAGAAAGGGGTTGGCGGTGATGGGAGATACATCATCACTCATGGTCATTGCCTTAGTCTGTTTGGGCTGCTATAACAAAACCATGGACAAAATGGCTTATAAACAACAGAAATTTATTTCTTATAGGCCTGGGAAGTCCAAGATCTAGACACTTATAGATCGTTTGTCTAGTGGGGGCCTTCTCCTTGGTTTATCAATGGTGCATTCTTGTTGTGTCCTCAGATAATGGAAGAAGGAAATAAGCTCCCTGGGCCTATCTGATAAAGGCTCCTGCTCATAAGGGCTTCACCTTCATGATCTAATTACCTTCCAAAGGCCCTGTCTCCTAATACCGTCACCCTCGAGATTAGGATTTAAAATGTGAACTTGAGTGGGGAGGGAACAGAAATATGCAGTTCATAGCAGCCACATTTTTGGAAAAAGACAGTATGTTTAAGAAAAGATTAATAATTCCATAATCAACCTTTCTTTACACACCACATAATTACTGATAAGGGCCCTTTGCTGATATGAACAGCAGCAATGAAACTCATGCACCATTTTCTCTTAGTTTTTTCTTAATTGGGAGAAGGGTCCACAACTTAGCTTTCAGCAACTGAGAGGGAAGATATTAAAGTGGTTTTTGTTTTGTTTTGTTTTTTTTGAGACGGAGTCTCACTCTGTTGTCAGGCTGAAGTGCAGTGGCTAAATCTCGGCTCACTGCAACCTCCGCCTCCTGGATTCAAGCGATTCTCCTGCCTCAGCCTCCGGAGTAGCTGTGACTACAGGCACCCGCCACCACACCCAGCTAATTTTTTGTATTTTTAGTAGAGATAGGGTTTCACCATGTTGGCCAGGATGGTCTCAATCTCCTGACCTTGTGATCCGCCCGCCTCAGCCTCCCAAAGTGCTGGGATTATAGGCATGAGTCACCGTGCCTGGCTAATATCAAATTTAATGTTGGTATTTTCCACTAGGCTTCTGTTTATTCACTTTATGGGAGAAACAACAATAAAAGAGAAAACAGTTTATTAACAAGAGACCCTGCTTTATAAATAAAATATGCATTCCTGCCTGCTCTGGTCTGAATGTCTGTCCCCCTCAAAGCTCACGTGTTCAAAGCCTACTCTCCTATGTGATGCTATTAGGAGGTGGGGGCTTTGGGAAGTGACCAGGTATGAGGGTGAAGCTCTCATTAATGGGATTAGTGCTATTTATGTCTGTCTGTGTGTCTGTGTGTGTGTGTGTGTGTGTGTGTGTGAGACACAGTCTCACTCTACTGCCCAGGCTGGAGTGCAATGGTGCAGTCTCGGGTCCCTGCAACCTCCGCCTCCAAAGGCCCCAGTCACTGGGTTCAAGCGATTCTCCTGCCTCAGCCTCCTGAGTAGCTGGGATTACAGGCATGAGCCACCACACCTGGCTAATTTTGTATTTTTAGTAGAGCCGGATTTCGCCATTTTGGCCAGCCTGGTCCCAAACCCCTGACCTCAGGTGATCCACCCGCCTCGGCCTCCCAAAGTGCTGGGATTACAGGCATGAGCCACTGCATCTGGCCTAGTGCTCTTATAAAAGAGGCCCAAGGAAGCTTGTTTGCCCCCCCACCAGGTGAGGACACAGTGGGAAGATGGCTGTCTATGAATCAGGAAGGGGGCCCTCATCGGACACTGAACCTGCCAGCATCTTGATCTTGGACTTCTCAGCTTCTAGAACTGTGAGAGATAAATTTATTTTGTTTATAAGCTATCCACCCAGTTTACGGCATTTTGTTATAGCTGGCTGTAACGGACTGAAATGCTGCCTCCACTTCCATGCCTATTTCCTCATCCGTAAAATGAGGATAATAATAATAACAGTACTTACTTTCAAATCTTGTTCTGAAGACTGATACACGTAAATTGCTTAAAACTATTTATGGATCATTTTGTTCACTCAGTTTATGTTGGCTATTACCTTATTATACTATCATTATAATTATTAATACTATCATTATATGCTCTCTTCATTAAGATACCCAAACCCAGAGTCACTATTCTGACACTGAGGACAGAAAGTTGTAAATTAAAAGCTAAAATCATAAAATCATACTGCTTTTCCACCCCAATCCTGGGCAACAAGTTAATCAAATGATGTTGAAATAAAAAAGATTCAGTTCTTAAATACAATGCTATTTCCTGTGTTTACTACTGTAGTCTCTGTGCTATGAATAGAATTGTATACACATGTGCATATATACGTATTCCAAGACTAAAAAGTTTATCTTTAAAAAGTGCTTACTTGGCTAGGCATGGTGGCTCATACCTGTAATTCCAGCACTTTGGGAGGCCGAGATGGTTGGATCACTTGAGGCCAGGAGTTCAAGACCAGCCTGGCCAACATGGTGAAACCCCATCTCTACTAAAAATACAAAAATCAGCTGGGTGTGGTGGGGCACACCTGTAGTCCCAACTACTTGGGAGGCTGAGGTGGGAGAATCATTTGAACCTGGGAGGTGGAGGTTGCAGTGAGCCGAGATAGGCCACTGCATTCTAGCCTGGGCTACAGAGTGAGACTCTGTCTCAAAAAAAAAAAAAAAAAAAAAAAAAGTGCTTACTCTTTGTGGGATAAAGGAAGGTACACATCAGTACATGTTGGTTGAGGCACAACAATTAATTCTTATATAGTAGAAGACTGGGTGAAAGATGCTAATATAAAACTGTTTCTTTTAAAACTACAGATTAATGTGATTTGGTTTAAAATTCTGGGAAGAAGAGTGGGCCAGGCGTGGTGGCTGATGCCTGTAATCCCAGCACTTTGGGAGGCCTAGGCAGGTGGATCACGAGGTCAAGAGATCGAGACCATCCTGGCCAACATGGTGAAACCCTGCATCTACTAAAAATACAAAAATTAGCTGGGCATGGTGGTACATGCCTGTAGTCCCAGCTACTAAGGAGGCTGAGGTAGAGAATTGCTTGAATCTGGGAGGCAGAGGTTGCAGTGAGTCGAGATCGCACTACTGCACTCCAACCTGGGTGACAGAGCGAGGCTGTCTCAAAAAAAAAAAAAAAAAGAAAAGTGAAATAGTTACATTGAAATTGGAAGCCATTTGAAACTCAGATACAGTCATTTTTTTTTATTTGAACGATTAAATCTACTGTTGTCTTTATCAATGTCTTTATCAATTTATTAAAAAAAAACATGGTTCTCTTTCTACAGTTTTTATTTTTTCAAATATCCTCAAATCCTCAAAGCTACTAGTACTTGGCCTGATACGGACTTCATTAAAAATTGGATATGATACAAGTTAAGCCTGACAAGCTCTTGTCCCAGGAAATAATTAAAAAACACTTTTTCACAGAAGCCCGTAGAGAAATATAGGCCCACAGTAAACCTGGGGCTTTGTGATATTAGCATAACAATGGGCAGAAATGAGAATACAGGTGTATTTTAACAACAAAACTCTGTGTAGACCAGGCGAGGTGGCTCAGGCCTGTAATCCCAACACTTTGGGAGGCCGAGGATGGCGGGTCACCTGAGGTCAAGAGTTCGAGACCAGTCTGGCCAACATGGTGAAACCCCATCTCTACTAAAATACGAAAATTAGCCAGGTGTGGTGACAGGTGCCTGCAATCTCAACTATTCAGGAGGCTGAGGCAGGGAGAATCGCTTGCACCCAGGAGGCAAAGGTTGCAATGAGCTGAGATTGCACCACTGCACTCATCCTGGGTGACAC